AGAGCGCGAAACAATTACGGCGCACTTGTTGCTTAAGGAGACCGATGTCGGTGTATTATGTAACTCGGCGTGGCTGGAAGGGCCCAATCAGAGAGCGTTCTTTGAGGAATAATGGGTTTCGCGGTAACTTTGTCGAGATATCGTCGGCTAATTAGCACGGCCTTTCCCTATGAACAATGAAGGATTCGTAATTTATTTCTTTAAGGATTCAACAAAAAGCACGATTTATACAATGACGGCTCCAGGGTAAGCTTAAGTATATACCCTCGAACTTAACCCCCGTAGTTATATGCGCACACGTCTATACCGTGAGCTCTTTGTTAAAAGGTTACACATCAGCGCTTGAGGACGGAGAAAGCCGGAGATACTCGAGCGGAAACGAATGTTCCGCGATAGTATAGAGGACGGGAGGATCTGGAGCGCATTTGTGCGTGAACGCGTGGAAAAAGATGAGCATAACTGATGGGAAAAGGGAGAGAGAAACAGATGGGCTCGCATGAAAAAGATGTGAAAGATATAGTGTATGCTCGTGTTTATACTTGTTCTTTTCTTTTCTGTTAAAGGGTGGGTAGGTGATGCCAGCAACTAACAACCAGTAATGCCAAAAGATGTCAATTCAGGGCCACCATCGATTTTTTCTTTTATTTTAATCGATTTGAAATATTAACTTGTTAAAAAAAATATTTATAAAACATTTTCATGCAAACATCAATAATAAATGGAAAATCGTTTGCAGCTGATTTGGGGACAGTCGAACCTAAGTCGTACTATGTATGTAATTGATCATTTGTATGAAGCAAGTAATAATTTGTAAGAACAAAGCAATGATTATAGTATAAAACGAGTACAAATTTTATTGTGCTTGCAGCTGGCGCTGTAAAAAAGCGAGTTAGAATCCCTTTTTTGCCAAGATTTATTCCATTGTCCAATCAGTACTACTCGAACAAAAGATCTAATGCACCATTGACTTCCGCGAAATGTTCTTTCAGAAAACTTGAGCCCACACTCGCCTACGCGTACGGAATGGCGATTAAAAAAAAACAAAAAAAAAACAAACTTTTCTTTCGAAGCTCGTTCCCAGCACTTTTGTATGTACCTGTTCTTCCATTCTTCTCGCTCCAACATTTCTCTGTTCTTCCCCTCGAATAGGCGCAGCTCGCGAAAAACCAAACGAAACGAAAAATCATAAATTAAACGGCACCGCTTGATTTTTTTTTTTCCTCTTCCCCCGCTGGGTGTGCCGTGAAAAGCGCGTGGTTCTCCCACCGCGAGAGGCCGTTAATCCTTGCGGCCCCTCGACGTGACCGAGCTAGTAAATTCGAACTTCAAGGACACGAGGAATTTCAAAAGCTTTTATGCAGAGGGAAGCAACTCTCCTTTTTTCTGCTCCAACCCTCCTTTCCCCCCTCTCCCGCATTCCCTTTTTTCCCACCATCGTCTCTCTTTCGCCCTGCCGGACGTCAACTCTTCCCATCCCTACCCCCGTGCTTTTATATTTCCAAACTTTGTTAAACCTATATCGTGGTGCTCTGTTTTTTTTTTCGTCGCTTTTAGCTTCGCGGCATGCACCTACGGGGAAAGAGAGAGGAGCTGATGCTACGAGCCAATTTATAACGACCGCTGCTGCGTACCACCAACTTTCCTCCCTGCTTCCGCTGAGGAATATTTTGGTAGTGTTTAAAACCTTTTTTTTTCTCCCGTTCAACCATCTGGATTTCGTCAAAAACACTGTTGCAGCTTGTTGATCGGGTGTCCTGTGCGTTGTCCGATAAAATTGACGATTAGCGAGCTGTCAGGTGTCTAATGGATTTTACTTTTTTTTCTTTTAATTTAGAACCTATACTATTACATCGAAATGTCAAAACATACACTTAATTTGATTAGATTTGATTGTTTGTGATCGACAATGGGCTATTTTTTGCAGGGTTATATGAAGTAGACGAAGGTTCAGATCTTGAAACGACTTTGGATGAATTGGTTATTTTGTTGTTTGAAAAAATAATAGTTACTTCGATAAATTCAATTTAAATTGTCCTGAAGTCGAATAAAAAATTCACATGCGAGATGCTTCGTCTGCAACAAATTATTACACGGGGGTAGTGTCGCGTAGTTTGAAAATTCCCCGGCAAGTTGCAGTTTGTTTTGTGTTGTCGTCGTTGACATTTTTCCGAAGAAAGTTCCAAAAGTTTCTAAAAGCTCCAGCCACCCGGGGTTAATCGCCTCCGATGCACCTCCATCATCCAGACGGATAACTTTGGCTAATCTTGGCTGGATGAAAAATTGCGTGATTAAATTTTGTTTTCCTCGCCCCCAACCCCTAAACTCCATCTTGGCTTGATTCACCGCAAAGTTACTTTGTAATTTTACTTGGAAATTTTTTCATTCGCCCCCACCTCCGCTCGAAAATATTATATCGCTCTCTGAGTGGACGGTGAATTTATTTATTTTTCAAAGTGTGAAGCTCCTTCAAATTCACGTCGGACTTTCGAGCCACAGTGTTAATAGTCCCAAACGCGAGAACTACCCCAGAAGGGAAAGAAGCTCGGCTGAAAAACCGCGAACCGTCTGGGGGCTAAGCCCCACTGGATTGGCTTTTATTTTCGATGCAGATCGCATGTAAAAAAAAAAAAAAATAGCGCGCGCAAAAGGGCAATACCGAGGATAAAAGTGGCCCCCCCCCTCCCTCCGGAACATACCCGTTCGGGAGAAAAAGAGCCAAGGCGTGGCTGTAAGCGAGAATTGACCCATGTGCCCGGGCATATTTCACGCCAGCCCTTTCACACGCGTACGTATAGGTGTAACGGGGCTGGAGGAAGGGAACCACGCAGGAAACCAGCGGCGCGCCCGTCCGTCCGGCCACCCACCTCCCGATGTAGACCGAATTTATTTTTCCGCTCATAAATATTCGATCCCTCCGCGAGAGAGTTTCCACCCGGGCGCTCTCCCTCGCGCGCGCATCTTTTTTACCCCGCGTCTCTATGGGATCTCTATGGTTGTTCTTTTCTCGTCAGAGGTGGGGGGGGGGGGAAGGATGAAAAAAACGGAACCGGCGCTCGGACAAATTTGTTGGTGATCGATAGTAAGCAGAGAGAAGCCGCTTCACCCTCGCTTGCGAAAATATTGTCGGTCTGCGTACACTGTTGGCACGACTGTGCGGATAATGCTTATTTTACATTTTTTAATTTGCGATTTTTATAATGTATGGGTAAATATATTCAGATACTCGGTGGGATTGGATTTACGGAAAAATTACGTCTCTTTGGTAAATAAAACGTACCAAACTACCCTTGAACTCGTCACAGGTCCCAGCAACACCGATTCGTATCTTTTACTCGATGCACGACCCAAAAAGTAAAGTGACGTGTACGCAACTGTTTCGTATCGGATGAGCTGTTTTTAATTGAAAGATCGCTTGGGTTGAGAAAATGTACGCTTAACCATGGAGTGAAAACGAGGGGAGGCTTTACAAAAAAAAAAAAAAAAAAAATTTCACCTCGGAAAGTTAGTTGAAGCAAGTTTATTTTGCCAAGAGCTTATGAAAATCGCTCAAAAACACCGCCAGATAGATAGAGGGAGAGAAAAAAGTGGGGGAGGAAAGAAGTTCACTAATTAAAGGTCCTCGGCGCTATCTCCGTTCACGCCGAAGCGAGTAGTCTCATCTCCTATGCGCATCTAATTACATTTACCGAAAACGCGGAAAGGAGGGGCCAAACGCAGCACGAAGTTGTTGTTGTAACACTTAACACTTTATTTAATTAAACGGCCAAGGCAATCTCTGTACGAGGAAAAAAAAAACACCACCAACATCTTCCCGGAACAACACGGCTCCATTATCTTTCTGTCTCTTTGCCCCCCTTTTTCTCTCTCGAAACAGCCCGTGGCTCCAATATAATGATTAAAGGTGCGGGAGAGGATCAAGAGAACGGGGGAGCCGATGAATGGCATACATCATGTTCGAATGTCGTCGGTTTAACGCGAGCGGGGCAGAGTCGCTGTCGGTGCTTTGTTAATTATTGGCCTCGCGAATGGGGTTAGCCAAACAACGGCGGCCAGACACTGTGTACGCAGGGGATAGTGCTGGGCTTCCCCCTTCTCCCTCTGCTTTTGACGATATCGCTTGCATGCACTATTTCTACCACTTGGAGCGTGTGTGTTTGCGCTCGGGGCAAGGGGAGCGAATGGGCGCATGTAACGAACGACGCGAGCCTTTTGATGGGGCGAGGGTTGTTGAACCGGACTACTGCTTATCAGGGGGGTCTCAGCCAAAATAATCATCAGCTGACTTCTTTTAATACATTTATTATTATTATTATTATATGAGCTATGTATTTTTAGTGTGTCCTAATGCGATGATACAGGAACCTGTTATCTCTTTAGCTCATAATCCAAGTGATACAATTTTCATGCGTGCAAAGGTTTATCTATTGAAATGTTGCTGCTAAGAAGTTTGAGGAAATCTTATGAATTAAAACCTTACGATAGCTAGTGAACAATTTAATTTTCGGTTCATTGCAATGTATGATTGGGTGAAATGTTGTTTGACGCGTCACCCCTAAAAATAATTCAAACCAGCCGGCCCATGTGCGATAACTGAAACGATTCCAGTTATATCTATGATTTTTCGAGCGACTCGATCCGGTGGATGCGACTATCTTCCTATACAACCCACCCACCCCAAAACTACTCGCACCCCGAGACCCTGACGGGAGTTCGATTTGATTGAGTTATGCCGCTCACCCCAAAGGCTTTTGACGAAACTTGCGCGTGACCCCACCACCCTCTCTGCCCGTTCGGTCCCAAAGTTATTATTCGCGGTCCCGTAGCTTCATCCGACGGATTTTGGATACGGTCCCTGGAAACGATAATTATCCCCGAATTTCACGCCGCGCTTTCTCCCTCCTATTTCTCGACGCGTCGCACAAAGCCAGCGGCGTCCACATAAACGTAGCCATCCATTTCGCGGATTATCGACGAGAAAGGTGATGGGGTGTGGTACTTACCCTCGATAACGGGATGACGTGGCTTGTAGGTCATGTCTGGAACAAATAAAACGAGCGTGGATTATTAGTTTGTCTGGGTGTATGCATTTTTGGGTGCACAAACATTCAGTATGGAGTACCTTAGTTATAATATACTGTGTTGTGAAACTTACTCTTTGTGTATACATATATCGGGCGTACCGACTAGTTTACAAACTCCAGCGTAACTTGCTCTCCCTTTTTGGGTTGAAAAAAAAAAAAAAAAAAGTTGCAACCACATGCATACGTGAAAGCGTACGAGTAAAAAAATAGTAATGATGATAATAACGAAGGGGAGAAGGAGTTGGACTCGAAAAATATGGGGCAGCGGAGTGGCGAGCGAGTTAACGACGTAATTAAAAGTCGTCATCGTCGTCTCGAGCCGCGGCGTTGCGACACGTTAATTTTCTCCATTATATTGCTGAGCTGTGTCTGCGCGTGGGGCTGGAGCGTGACCTTAATTTGGCTTTTCTCCTGCTGACTTTACGTCCTGTGACGCGGAGACGTAAAAATCAGCATATCCATACACATGGTTATACGAGCATGAACGTAAATTTTCTTTTGGTGCCCGACCATCGAGTGTTGCTTCTACACGAGGCCATTTGAATCGTCCGATTCTCAATCAAGATAGTCGTTCACACGTATATATTATCATATTTCAATTCAACAATTTTACGAAAAAAAAAAAAAAAAAAAAAACGCTGGAACCATAATGGTAATAGAACGGTGATTCTCGGGGGGGTCCCTCACGTCAATATGTACGCGAGCGCTGACACGTGACACGAAATGTCTCATTCAGAATTGGCTTTTAAAAAAACGCATGAACCGAGAGGGATCGGGAACGAGGGTGAACACAACCAAACGAACTTTTCAATGGTAATACCCACGTGTGCGTGTGGGCGGATTTACGCGAGTACATTCATACACGCGCGACGTGACGCGACCTATACACGTGAGAAAGACAACACGTGCGACATGTACATGGACCAACTTTTAATTATCCGTCCCTCGGAATCCATTAGCGAGAAGAAAGGAGGCACGGGCGCGTCGGAAAATAATTAGAAGTTTCCCAATGAACGAAATCGGATGGAATCCCAGAGAAAAAGAGAGAGAGAGAGAGAGATACTCGTATCGCACGAGTGCGTATAACACGCACAGTCTATACGTACAACAAGCGACGGGGTAAACACAATGATTTTGTTTTTCGGCTGACAAATATCTGAAGAGGCGAAAAACTTGATTTATCCGTCTTTGTACTCGTTGGACGGGTGTCTAACCATACTCTGACACGCACTACTTATTCGCGTTTCTCATTATCAGAGAGCCAGTTGGGCGTTGAGGGGCAACTAATCATACAAATTGTACCACGCGAACAGCTTTGCCTTCGTAATTAAACGGGTGAGGAGTAGTGTACGGGGCTCTTGAGCTACTTATCGCATGTCTTGATGTACGGAAACAACGAGCCGCTGCAGAAATGCCGGATCGCATTGGACATTTTTATTCGTACGACGGGTCCACTTTGGCTTGATTTGCATTCTCGTGGGAAACGATACGTAGCAAATACTGCTAAACTCAACAGACCTGCCATAGGAGCATAAAACAAGTTGCAGAAAGCTCCAAATTTTTACAAGCTCGAACAAGTCGGAAGATATACCAGTCACGATAAGCAGTCAGGAAAGGAGAAACGAGCCGAACAAAAAGTCCGAACAGAGAAAAAGGGGCAGGGGGTTGGGGGTAGAAATAAAAAAACCAAAAGGAGCTAGAAAGCTGACGCTCGTGAGTGTGTATGGGTGCGAAAATGCAGTTGTGGAGGGGGGGGGGAGTATAGGAAGAGCAGAGAGCGGCAGCCGCGTATTGTTCCTGGGCGAGCGATTGATTTTCTCTATATTTCAATGGAGCTGGTACGAGCTCGCGGTGGGTGAGAGAAACTTTGGACTATCCGGGTCTGTGAAAAATGAGGAAACTTTTCTACCCCGAGATTCGCGATCACGTTTCTCCTGTAACGGCTCTTCTTGCCCCCACCCCCTCCCCTACCCAGTCCAGATTTTATCCCAAGAGTTATATGCGCCTGTGCGCACACATGTGCCGAGCAGACGTCACTGAGTTATATGGAAATTTTTAGTCCTCGTCCTCTCTGACACGCCCCGGTTTTATGCACACTTGTGCTGATTGGTTTTGTCTGTTCTTCAGTTGGAGGAAAAAAATTTTACGCTCAACAATATGAGCTGCAAGTTTTTCACGACACTGACGTTTCTTGAACTGTATTCTGCCAAAGAACTCGTATTTTTTCTATCCCAATACCTAAATACTTGTAATTTTAATTCTCTATCTCACGTTTGTTTGAAATTCAAGCAGCTTTACAAAAATCTTCATAAACAATTGTATATACACGCAGTAGCTCCATTAGCCCCAAGGCTGATTGATTGACAAGCGGAACCCCTCGTGATAATGCGTGAAAAGCAAATTTGCATATATACCATTAGGTACACTCACTCTCGCGCATCCATGCGTGCTCATACCAACAGTGGTGAACCTGAGGCATCTACAGTGCCCCCGACCGAATCGTCTATTTCCCAAACTCATCAGTCTACGCAACGTGGGTCGAATGACGCGTTCTCGAAGGTGGAAAAACAAAAACTTAACCAGTCATCCTTGTTTATTTGATCAGCGACACAAGTATCAATCATTCAGTGCGATTCAATATTTATTTTTCCCATATCTTTTTTTTTTCCATCATACAACAGGTGCTGACACATCTGGTACACAGGTCAGAGGTGGAGGCGCACAGCCACTACAAAATTCCATTAAGTCGCACGTAATTCGACTTGTCGAGCCGAAGAAGCCGTGAAAGAGGAGAGATTCTAGCGACAGCGGAGCTACCGTACTTCTAATTGCAACGGAGGCGACGGATGGTCCGACGTGTGGCCGATCTTTACTTTTGCCACCTGTGGAGTCGCTCGGATTATCACCTCTTTTCCTGCACCTATAGGAGTGTGAGTAAAAAAAAATGCTTGATTGATTTTATTATACCTAAATGAGTCATGTATTTTCCACTTGTTGATGAAAAATTTTGCATCCCACTTGAGATGTTGCACTTTAATAAACACATGTATAACTTGATTTAATATATTTTCATTAACGCAATAACATTTTTTGCGTTACATAGTTGATAGAAAGTGAACACAGCAAACCTAAACTCAGTAGTGAGGATCAGTATCTCGTCAGCCGTCATCAAAAGTTTACATTGGCAGTAGTACGTATCTTGAGTAGTATTGATCAGTATTTGGTCAGCCACACCAAATTATCTTACACGTTACAAGAGTCTATGTAAACTCCATCATACCGATAAATATGCCATTCAGTAGTAAAAATCAGTATTCGGTCAGACGAGCCTGAAATTCATGTATTCGACGTTAAAAACGCCACAATAACCCGTTAAACGTACCTGAATCCGATTCATACACTAGAATGATAAAACCTACCGTAAAAAATCACATGGCACCCATTTAGATATAATAAGCACGTTGTACGAGGTAACTATCACATCGGAGGGCAAACAATCTCGAAAAAGGCTCATCCTTGCATGAACGTCTAATCAAGCAAAACGAAAGGCAAATATGTAATTGTAACGATCTTTATACTTGAAGCACGCGAGCCCTCGCACGGCTCCTCACTCATATCTCCACAGCGAACCACCCGGGAGGGTATAATTTATTTGCAACCCGTGCCCAGGAGAGAGGGAGAGTGAGACGAACGATGATATTCCAATCGCTCGCATAAACACGCCCGTCGTATATTTCTCCCCTTCCGGTTGGCTGATACGAAGATAAGTTTGCATGCACAAGTGAGGATACGCTGAATGTATAAAACAACACACAGTTTTAACGAGTAGGTATATATGCGATGAATATCACAGGGACAGTATAAAATTAATCGATCCTCGATGTAAAACGAGGCGAGTGAGAGGAAGCAGCGCATAGCCAAGCCCCAATGTGAACCGTGTGAGGTGTGTCCTTATAATCCAGACAGCCGCGCCCCTCGCCGCGTGCATTTGTCTGACGCGCACGAACGTCTTGGCTCTCCTTCGCGTTCCTCCTGACTGAAGCTCGCCTTCCACCCCGGACTACATATTTCCGAGAATGAGGATGAAATGGAGAAACTCGTGCTCCCACGGAGGCAGACGCGAACACGTGCCTCACATACTGGAAGCTCGGCTTCCCGCTCCACCGGGAGAATATGCGCGCGTAAGCTTCTTCTTCTTCTTCTTCTTCTTCATCTGTTTCTTGTGCATCTGTTGCGGTGTGTACGTGTGGCATGTAGGTGCGTCTGGAGGGATCTTTCATTTTACGCGCGACGCACGTGCCTGGATCTTCCTCGCCCCTCCCCTCTTGAATTCCGGGGGACTGGTGCCTTTTCGCGAGTGCGCGAAGCTGCGTTTTTCAACCCTCGAGTTCGTGGACTGGATTTTACGAATAGTTGACAAATTAATAGGAATCTCGTGATGGATTGTCCAAGCTCTCACGAGATGCAAGTTTTTTTCATCCTACGCGTATACTTTCTAACGAGAATGGATGCACCGTCGTTTTTGTTTCCACCGAAAAATGCAACCCTCGGCATCTCCCGAGACACCTGAAACGAGCCGCGAAGGAAAGCCTCTCTTTTCCACGAGCGGAAACTCGAACCGATAACTCGGTCGGGAACAATCGCTAACAAGGACTCCCCCCCCTCCCTCGCAGCTCGGAGGATCCAGAGCCAGAGAAATTGTACACGCTATATCTTTCCGAGAGGTAAGGAACAAAAAGCCGGGGGAGGGGTACTGTTGTGGCACAAAGCGTTGTTACAGTCGTTAGCGGTGCCTCGCGATTTCACCTTTCTCCCGTTTCAGTGGGCCATTAAGGCTCTCGGATTGCTCGATCCTTATCATATTATTGTTCATTTACCAATCTTAGGTCTAAATTTGATCTGATCATTATTTCCTGATTTTACTCGTACATATAACTATACTGTTGGTGCAAAACAAGTATAAAGAGTTAGGCGAAACAAAAAAAGGGGGAGAGATAGCCCGGCACTTCCCTTCCAAGCGGCTGCGTAAACCATCGCGCCACGTACGCAGCCTAGGTGAAATTGAATCTCCAGGTAATGACTGAATTGCGAGCAGAGCGCGCCGCCGGCTCCGAGGTATATATGTACATATACCCATGTGTACTCGTAACGGGGGGGGGGGGTCTCGAGGCGCAGGAGGGAAAGCTAAGCCTGTCGCGGCGGGGCGAAGGTGCTCTGCAATTTGTCGGCTGCCGTAAACGTTCCTTAACTACTTGAAATTGCAAGGCAGCGGAGCTGATGCTGTGTCGACGACGACGATGGTTTTAGGAGTATTATCTTGCATTAAGATGGGAAGGGGAAAATGAGAGCAGGCAACTCGAAGGGAGGAAAACATTGCACACTTACTGACTGGGACTGATACCAGATCGGAGGTGAGGATTTTCTCTATGAAATTGCTTTAATCACACGGAAAAAAAAAAGCGAGAAGGTAAACGAGCGAGGGTGGGGTTGATATTCGTGCGTAGGTGAATTACAAGCCGAGTTTACCTGGCTGAGAGCAGCTATTAGCCAAGGATGGGGTAAACCAAGGGAGCACGATAAAAAGCCTCGTAATTGACTCTCACTCAAAGGGGAGTGACCGTCGCTGGGCAGCGTCAAAATTCACTTTTAACCAGCCGTGCTTTCCAGCCCTCTGTGATCTCTGGTCCCTTTACGGGGACTTTTTGCTGAGCAAAGTAAGTTTGTTCCAAGAGCTAAATACCCCAGTTGACCGAACGATAGAGGTTCGTCGCAATTTATTTTCCAAGTTATTCTTTGCTAGGCTTTCCATCACTTGGCGGTGTATTTATTATTCAATGAAAATAAGAGGCTTGGAGATGTATATACTGTACCTCAACGATGAGCTTACGAATTCATGGAAAGGGTAATGAATGAAAATGAATAAAGACTCGGACAAAAGGGTGCTGCTCGCCAATTATCAAACAACAATGCACCCTTTCATCGCGTCAGACTTTGGAAGTATATTATAGAGCTTCTTCTTCACCGTCGCTAATTCAATGGGCTTAAAAAGTGTTTATGGATTTCCCTTCAAAACACGATACCGCATAAATTCAAAAAAATGCTATGCAACACCATTATCACTCAAATGGATGTCCTCCGTCAACCATGAGCGTGGAGACGCCAGAGCTGGAAAAACGACCCGATACCCAGAAACATTCGATTACCACCTTCCACCCGTCCAATTCACCAGAGGCCTCCTGAAAATTTCAAGTCGCGTTTCCAGCGTCAAATCGACTTTGCAATTCATTTCCCCCACCCCCCAGGGGTCCATGTAGCGATCGGCACGACCATCATTAGGACGGGCATGGGAATCGTCGCGTCAGTTTGCCAATTATTGCAATTTCGTCCGACGCGTTTCCCAACAAATGGAAAAAAACGCTGACGGTTCAAATCCCCCCCAAAAAGAAGAGGGTCCACGCACGAGGACGACACGGTGGATCGCGGCCCTCAGAAAGAGTCCTCCGCCAGCGCGCTACCAAATCGAATTCCCGAAAATTCCCCGGAAAATCCGGAACAACGGCTCAGTCCGTCCGGCGAACCAACTCCTCCTGCCCATGAGGGAAAAAAAGCACCAACATCGGAAAGGACAATGCCGAGACTGATTGCGGCTCGTTCAGGTGAAAACTCCTCCCCCTCCTCGGGCAAATAAACCGAGTTGTCTGCCTTTTTCTCCATCACTCTCCTTTTTTTTTTTTGGATGCAACGGAGGCTTCGGGGGGGGGGGGGGAAGAGAAGGGCCACGTTGGCCCGTTTGATTTCCACACGGAGCGGCTAAGCCGAGGGAAAATACGGGGACGCCGCGGCAATAATCGGATCCAATGGAGCGTCGCTCTTTCGACTTTTCCGGCAAAGCCCGAGAACACGGGTGGATTATTTTCCATACGCGCTGTTCGGGGCCACCCGGACTGTTTGGGACGATTAGAGCCAAAGGGAATTAACAGCGGCTGGTACCTATAACAAGCCGTGTCCCAGCAAAGTTGCACTCGGTAAGAGGATTCGGCCTCCATTACAGCCTCGAGGACTTCTCGCGTTTTTGTTCCAAAACCGGATTGAGCCTTGGTGAAAAATGTCGAGCGCAAAGGTATTAGTCGAGAAAATTTGCACCGGGTCGGAAAAATAGTTTCGGCAATTAACTTTGCGTGCAACAGTAATAATACAAGCATCCACCGAAGGACGAGTCAGGATATACTCAGTGGACGTCGATTCCTTGGTAAAATTTTCTCTCTCCCTCCCCTGCTCGTTTTATCAGCCACACACGTATACGTACACCCTGCCGATATCCTTTCGCCTCTCGGTCTTTACGAGCAGTCGACGCATTGTAATTCTAGCCGAACAATATCACCAGCGGGAAGTTTCCTACGTGCCGGGCATGTCAAATTCGACACATAAAACTGGCGCGCGGGTCTCGCACCCCCACGGGCGAGGGGCCGTGTCGTCGGTTAACGTATCGCCGGCACGTGTCGGCATTGTCTGGCCGCTCGTATATCCCATACTGACTGTGGGATGGAAACTGTATCGTGTGTGTGTATATACACGTATAACCAAGGATTGGGATGCCCGAGAAAGACTGACTCGCGGGACAGTTGTAAATAATCATCGTCGATCTCCAAGTGCTATTAAGGGACCGTTGCCTCATGTCCGTGGTACGTGTAGGGCTTGACGGAAGAGTTGTTACACACGCCCAGTAAATGGATTTGAGATGTCCTTTTGGGAAACTTTGGATTTAACGGTGCCACTCTGTTGGGCTACACTCGAGTTCACGTTTTCGTCTTTTATTGGTCATGATTTTCAGTGGCCATTGACAGGTCCAACTTTGCACCTCGTTATCATTCAGTGGGATGACTATACATATTTGAAATTTCAATAGTCACGTGCAACAATTACATTATTTGGATTATTTAGTTTGTCATACACGTAATCATTTGTAAATTTGAATTTTACTACAACTACTATTTGCAAAAAAACACAAACACAAACAGTACGACATCCACATGCAAAAGATATGAAAAACCAAAAGTATCTCTTATACGCATGAGTCCAAGTCAGAGATTCGACTTACAGTTGAAGTAGAGCAGTATCCCGGCGACAAAGACAAAGACAATGACCAAGAGAACGAGCAGTAGGAGCAGTATGGTCGGCTTGCACCACGGATTCCCACCATCCGTCCGTGCGGCCTCTTTGGCCCTCTTCTGCTTGACGACGCTCGACTCGCCGCTCGCGTTAACCACGACCCCCTTGTACGTGTACCGGGGAGCCGCGCTTTTGGCCTTATCCGGCGCGAAGCCGTGGTCGTCCTCGGGCTCCTGGGCGTACACCCCGTACGCCTCGAAGTTGTTCTTCCTGTAGCCGTTCATCTTCTCCGGCGCCGTGCCCTCCTCCCCGGCGCCCTTCCGCCCGTAACCACCCGAGCCCTCGGCCAACGTCTTGAGGTTCCCGTTGCCACCCTCCGCCGTCCCGTATCTCCCCGTTCGCTCGTAACTCCTCGACGTGGTCAGCTCGTACTGCTTGGCCGGCCGGCCCATCGTCTCGTAGCCCCGTGGATGGTGATTGCCGGCCACCACCGACTCGTCGCGCTCGTAATCCACGGGTACGGCCGTGGCCGGTCCCCCGGAGGACTCCGTGTAACGGGGCAGGGTGCCGTAAGCCTTGCCGACCGAGTGGTACTTGTCGTAGGCCGCCAGCTCGTAGTCCGGCTCGCGGCTGTTGGTCTTGACGCCGGACTCGTAGCCGGTGCTGGCCGGCGTCACCACCTCGTACGTGACTTTACTGCAGGGCTTTTTCGGCTCGAGTTTGAGGGTCTCCTCGGCGTAGCGGGCGTACTCGTAGTCGGTGAGGTCGCGGGAGTAGCGCCTCGTGCTATCCTGGCTCGGGTCTACCGCGTACGAGATCATCCGGGTGGATGGGTTGGCCGGTTGCTCCTGGTACGGAGCGTCGAGGTCCGACTCTTGGTAGGTCCTCTCGGGTCTGCCGTACCTCGAAGCCCCCACCTCCTCCGGGTAGATGCGCTGGTGGTGATGGTTGTTGCCCTCGGCCGGCTCGTAGGCCTGAGCGGCCACCGGGTGGTAAGCCCGTTCGAGGTAACCGCCGCTCTCGACGAGCCCGTAATTGTTGAGCATGGCGGACTCCTGGTGTCGGTGGTAGATGGACTTGAGGGGGCTCGGGCCATTGAGAGCCGCGGGGTCGTAGTCGGCGAGGTAGCGCGAGGCCCTGCGCTCGCCGCTGCCATAGTCCATCGAGCCCTCGACCACGTTGGGCAGCTTGCTGTTCAAAAGCTCCCCCGGCCCGTACTGCTGCTGATAATGCCGATCTAGGTGGTTACGTGGACCGGTGGTGGTGGCGTTGGCATGCTCGACCACGAGACTGGGCAGACGCGCTGAGCCACCGAGCGAGCTATCTGGGGTGTTCTCCGTCAGGTCCAGTCTCAGGCCCGTGCTGCTCGTTCGGCGCATTTTCCACCATTGGCATGATCGCCGTCGGGCTTATCTCCACCCTTTTCCTCACCCTTGATCCGCGTCTTCTTTTCATACATACAACTGTTATAGGTATAATGTTGCACCTGTCTCGGTTTTATCAACTTTGCTAGCGGTTAGTAGGTTAGTAGTTGAGTCGCGTTGTTAGTATAGGCGGTGAGTAGAGGAGAGATCGGTGATCCTGAAATCGGAGAGACAGAAGAAATGTTAGTACATTATTGGTTAATCGCGTGGGTGGTTTATCGTTGGAGGGGATACGTATGGGTGGGGCTATCGCGTATACATACACAGGGAGAAAAGTTGCTCGTTGAATTAATTCAGCCATCAATTGTCAGGGGCACACAGTTTGGTGGTGTGTGTACGGATTAAGGGGGGAGAGAAATTACTATTTTTCAGTCGGACGTAATTTATGAGCTGCGTGCCGATGTGAAATAAAAAATCGACGGGGAAAGAGAGAGAGAGAGAGAGTGGGGCCATTACGGCTCGTGTAATGTGTATACGCGTAATGACCGGGGCATTACGGTCTCCCCGTGCGTTTGCTTTTACCTCGAGCGCGGGTCGAACTCCTTAAAGTCGAATCAAGCTTGTGAGTAGGTATGCCAAGTGCGACAAAGTGACACCGAATTATTTTTTTCTTTTTCGTTTTCCAACGCTATACAGGGAAAAACGCACCATCGATTGATCTTACTTTTTTTTCGAAATTCACAATTTTTTTTAAAAGTTTTTTCTTTCCAACTATTTGCACGAGCTGGCCACGACAATGGCAAGGTATCCCTTTCGCAAACGGGCACACCCCGGAAAACTCATTTCGCGCGACGGAGGGATCCATTTTTCAGGCCGTCGGGGTGCACTGCATACAAAGTGCACCCGCGCCTCGGGGACCAAAGTGTCCGGCGTCCGGGAGAAAATGACAATAAGAAAAGTCAGGGACACGTGCACCCGGGGGCGTGGGACGACGACTTCAAAGGAGATCGGCCCGCTTCGCATGCAAATACTATTAGTTACGGGGAGTAACTTCATTTGCCTATACGTTGCAGGGCGAGACACTAAACTCATCCCGTGCAAACTGGGCGCGTGTACGAGCCGACGGTGGACGCCAATGGTGATGTAAATAAGGGTATTGTGCCCCTCTCTCCGTTGAGTAAACGTATATTGTTGTTTTGATGAGCGAAATGTTTCTTTGCATGAGGGGGGGAGCAAAAAGTAGGAATCCCGCAATCAGTGAGGTTGATGAAACTCAACGTCAACCGCGACGACGCGTCCGAGACGTTGCTCGGTTTGCGCGCATACCCAAACTGTACAGCAAACAACTCTAATCGCCCGGCAATCTCCGCCGTAGTTCAGTCAGGTATGTATACCTCGAAAATTCTAAGCTGTCGGCGCTCCGGAGATCCAGAGGTTGTCTGGCGCAATATTGCCGGAAAACCTAAACTTCATCGATGACCATCATCTTGTCGGGGGAACCAAGGGATATTACCGAAATTTCTGCCGCATAGCGCTACTTCGATCGCGTATATAATATACACGCGGTCCCTTTCTTTTCCCCGCTCGTACCTCCGGGAGGATAATTGGAGCTTGGTATGCCAGACCCGCGGCCGAGTTATTGCGGGGAAAGATACGGAACTCCGCTCCGATGTATAAATCCCCCGCGTGTACCAGCAGGGGGTGGAGAGGGATCGATATGCCGGAGGGAGGGAAGGGGAAAGATATGAAGCTCCCTGACCATCCTCCGGCCCGTGCGAAAACGTGCCCTTCGCGAGGACGTAATTCAATAATAGATACTGCAAAGTTGCCGTGTGGCTGGGGTGTGTGTGGGCGGGTGTACCTGCTCGGCCAAATAGTTTCAAGCCGTGACGAGTCGAATAAATCGACTGTATAGGATTCTGTAGGTACGCCCATGAGTGGGGGAACGAGAGGCTTTGCAATTCAGAGTCGAGTTGATTGACTCTGATATCAAGGAATTCGAGGGTGGGAAAAAAAAAATTGTGCTGGACATGTATTTGTTTTGCATGGTGATACGTAAAGAAAGGTTTTGCGGGTATCTGTTCATTGATTACTGCTAGTTGTTTTTATACGATGATTCGTGAAAAGTAATTTAAGTTTTTTTGTTTTCTCACCACGCAATCTGCACCTATCGACATTTCCAATAAAAACTTGCGGGCTGGTGTTGTGAAATATTCATAGTTGCTGCTCAACAAATCATGAAAACGCTTGCTAATCCTCGAGAAAATTTAAATTTTACATTGGATGCCAAACGCTTGAATATTCATGTAACCGTGCCGAGTGTGATGAAATTTATTTTGCTTAGGGCTAAACTACACAGCATTGGATTATTGTGCGCAAGAAGGGAAATGATACTGGAATGGATAATACAATATTTTTTCAACAATCGTCGTAGCCAGTACTAGAGATCCACGTAAAACTAAGAGTATTATCAAGATGGGACACGATAGTGAGAACATGGTTCACCATTGAGATCGAGAAAAACGTAAATTTATGATGTTGACGAGAGGGACATAAAGGATACAATGTATGGCTAAAGCACAGTAGGGTCTGCGCGTACAACTGTATGCTCGACACACAGTTAACAATAACAATAATGGTGCCGTTATCGCCATTCGAGTCTTTTCTCTTTCCACATTGCATACGCACACCTTCACAACCATCCCCTTTCTACCTCCCCTCACCCATACACACCTCTATCCAGCCATATATCGCTCGTCCTAACTCTCTTTCTCCCACTCCTTCCAGCGCCCTCCCTCTATTTTCTATTTTCCACCTCTAATTTATCTCGACGCGCGGCCCTTTTTCCCCCCCCCGTTTCGGACCCTGTCAGCGGACTCCGCGGCGCGCAAAAACTTCTAAATTATTTATACCCTCTATTTTTTTTTTTTTTTTTTTTGAGCCCCATGTGCCTGTTCTGCTACCCTTTCTCTCCCACCCCCTCCCGCCGTGGACGCGAAACGCAAACGCGTACGTATTCCTGCAAGCCGCTCCCTTCAATGCCTACTGCCTCCGTTCCCACTGCAAGCACTTTGTTAAATTGATCATGCCCCAACGATCAGATAATGCAAGCGATGATCAATCGTCCATCGCGACCTCCTTTTTTTCCCGCCCAGCTCCAACTGCACGTTTTTATCAAATTTATGGTTTTAGCCTAACTCCCGGGTAATCGGGTGGATGGTGACTACTTTCGAATCCTCGAGTCGGGGGACAAAGTTAAATTGGTCAGCTTTCCGCGGCCCATCATCCCCCTCGCTAATCCTCGACATTGGTCAACCGCGAGGGACCAAATCGCAGGTATATCCAGCGAAATTCGTTGAGCCGTAGTCGTGCGGGGGCTTTTTGAAAGTTCGCGTTTTGGAAATTAGTTGGCTTTGAATGACTCGAATCCAACGGACAAAGAGGAAGGATTATCCGAGTATACGAACGAAATGCTCATCAAACTTGCTGGGCTTACTTGAACGACGAACAATCGCGCGATCGTAACATCAATCTTCGTTTCATTTTTTTTTTTGCCAAACCGTGTATATTATATCTGTTCAGTGAGCGCCCACACCTGTACATAAGGTATAAGTGCGTATAGTCCTCGGAAGGAAGTGAGAAACGCGCGCTTACATTCACCCCGTGAGTTTTCCATGCCAAAGCAGCAGGATCGGTGTATCTAGCGCCAAGCTCGATGGTGATGTTATTCGGAAGTTGCGCCCTAGACGCTCTCGGGCAGGTGATCAAACGTTTGCGATTTTAGGCGTCGTATGACACGTTGAACTCTGATGAAGTATAAAGGTTGGGCGTGC